CCGCGGGCTCCGGGCGCAGCCCTGCTGCCGCCGCTCCCCGCGGGCTGCGTCTCCCTGGGGACTCCCGCCTCCTCGCTGCGGGGTTAGAGCTGTTTCCCGGTGCCACTTTTAGGGGCTGACTTTCGCAACTTAGGGCTGAGAATTTATTTTTAAGTCCTTGAAAACTTGCAGCGGAGAGATTTTGTGTCCGGCCTGACCGAAAGGGAGGCGGAGATGAGGCTGTTGAATGAGATCCCCATTCAGGCACCCGCCCGGCCGCAGCCCCAGGCCGAGACCGTCCCCTCCCCGATGCCGGCGACACCTGGCTCTGGGGTGTGTCTGCAGCGCGCGGCCGCCGCGCCTCCCTGCGCGTCTGGAGTACCTGTGCCGGGCAGCGTGGGAGAGGGGCGCAGCTCGCGCGCTTCCCCCGCCCCGGCTCTGTCAAGAACAGCTGTTGACGCTCCCATCAAAATCTTTTTACCCCCTTTCTCCCGGGCATTCACGTTTACATTTATTTTGGTGTGGTGGGAGACCGTCGCAGTCGCTGATTTGAAGGCTTTTTCGTGAATGGCCTCATTTTCATATTATGCCCACAGTTTTCAGTCCAGCATTCCATTGTCAAATTCTTTTGGTGATAATTTTGCCAGATTTTCTGAATGGGATTAGGACAGGCTGTTCAGAAATCTGTTTCAGAGTTTGTCAAATACTACCCTGAAGGGTGCTTTTGTGTTTTAGCTGCTTTCAAGCAGATCTGTAGTTGTGTCCTTTAGAATTGTCACAACCTTCTGCTCATTTTGGTTGGGCACGATTAAACAGTTCTATTTTTTGAGGCCAGTGAAGAAACATGTGCATTTAATATTGGGATCATTTACCACAAGTGATCACATGAGGCATGGTTTCTTAAACACTAAAGTGCCTTAAAAATTGAGAATTTTGTTGGATTTAAAAGTAATTTCAGGTGAGGAAACTTTCACTTGCTTCTGTTCAGCTTTCATATGAGTTGAGGATTTTATTAAGGCAGCTAACATCACTTTGAGAGCTGAAAAAAATTATGTTTTTTTTTACAGTTCATAAAGCCTATTTATTACAGGAATCCTATATAGTACTGGATACCTGTTTCTGCACAATGAGCTCCTAGGTATCACTAGGGATTAATTTCGAATTGTTTTAAAAGCCTATTTTGTTTTTAATTGTTGACTTTGGAGTTCAGGAACCACATTCCAAAGCAAAGCCACACTATTCAGAGGAAGCACTCTTGTGTACTTTTTGGTTCTTGGCTCCTCTGTGAACCTTTTCCCCAGTTAACAATACGAATTTTACATCTTTTCTCTCCTCCAACCTTGACTCCAGAGCAGAGTCTGAAATGGATGTTACATGAATCACTGTAAGAGCTGAATACAACTATGAACATTTCTGAAGCTTTTCCTCAGTAAACTAGATAAAGATGGATGAGTCTGCCTTGTTGGATCTTCTGGAGTGTCCTGTGTGTCTGGAGCGGCTCGATGCTTCTGCAAAGGTCTTGCCTTGCCAGCATACGTTTTGCAAACGATGTTTGCTGGGGATCGTAGGTTCCAGAAATGAACTCAGATGTCCCGAGTGCAGGACTCTCGTTGGCTCGGGTGTTGAGGAGCTTCCAAGTAACATCCTGCTGGTCAGACTTCTGGACGGCATCAAGCAGAGGCCTTGGAAACCTGGCCCTAGTGGAGGCAGTGGGACGAACTGCACAAATGCATTGAGGGCTCAGAGCAGCACTGTGGCTAACTGTAGCTCAAAAGATCTACAGAGCTCCCAGGGTGGACAGCAGCCACGGGTGCAAGCCTGGAGCCCCCCAGTGAGGGTGAGTAGCTTGCAGAAGCAGTTTGGTGAATGACAGTGGTGATGAGCTCATTTTTTTTCTTTATTCTTTAGGTTGGTGTTTTGTAAATCAGCTCATTGCTGAAAAGCAACACTTACTATAACAGATAGGAAATTATGCTTCAGGATATTTTCCTTTTGGAATGAGATTATAGATAAATGATTAATTTTCTTGTTTTAAAATTTTTCTCCAGATAGTCGGTATTACCTTTTAAGATAAATTTTGGGGAACTGGTAGCAGTTTTTTGTGCCCATTTAAAAATGGAAATTTATTATGGTTTTTGCCTTTTTGATGAAGTTGAGAGAGTTATAATCACATATGTGTATTTGCATATATTTATGGATATTATAAATATATGTGTGGGTACCATAAGTAGGGAGTCAGGCCTTAATTTTTATGTTGCTTAGAGCTATTCTATTGGTTTTATGAATGCACAGCACAGAATTTACTGGTTGGAGGAATTCTAAACAAATCATGGCCACAGGTAGCAGAGTTTTGTTGCTATAGCAACAAAATGTCATTAGGAGTGTGCTAAAACAGCAGAGAATCTGGCTTTATGTTTGGTTTTACAGGGAGTGAAATGAAACGTTTAATCAAAATGATTTTTTGGGGGGGATTGGGGCTTAAATAATTTTAAGTAAAGCTAAAAATTTGAACAGTTACCTTAATTTAAATTTCTAAAGAAATTTAATACGAACTTACCTTATTCAGAAGGTAAGTTCTTCTGAATAAATCTGAATTTATGTTGTGGGCGATGGCACATCTCATCTTTGTAAAAATAAAAAGTAGTGACAAACATCAGATAATTAAAACAATTCCGTTTTGGTTGGAAGAAAAAATTTGATAATTGGCCAAACTGATAAAATCTATTTTTAAAGAACTTAATGTGGAGAATATTTTTTTTTCAAATATTCATAGTAAACAGTCACATATGACTTCCTTCATTTATGTAGAAACATCCCATTGGGATGGCATTAGATAGTATAAATTCACAGATGTGACTATCAGACCTTAACAGTAACAGCTTTATAACCATTCCCTTAGTTCCTTCTCAACTCATCTTTTAAAATGATGTATTTATATCACTAGATGTAAATTATGTAAAGTGCTTTAATCACTAGAAAACAGTTTCATCACTAGACTATCAGATGTCTTTTGATTCATATTTAATTTTTTTTTTAAAGTTGGTGACGACTTTGGATTAGGAAGTTTTTCTTTCTGTATTTGAAATCTACATGTAGAATTGATCAACTTAGATTTTTCTTAGATTTCCTTTATTTTATGGAATTTACTAGTACCTTGATTAATGGATATGGATTCATGAATATATTAATCTCAGAACCAGTGATCAAGTTGATTATTTCTGAAATATCTGACCTAGTCCTGCTTAACTTAATTAGGGAGTAAATTTGCTTCTTTGGAGAGATTTTGTTTCCTTGTTAATTAGACAAGAGAAGCTATAGCTTCTGGCTATGAATAGAAGTATCTTAGTGGTTGACAGTGGCCTACCTGTTGTGAGGAATGCATTGAAGTTTTGATTACTGATAAAAAAAAATTAACAAGAGGTCTCAAACATTCAACTTAACATTTTGTTTCTAACAGAAATTGACTAAGTAATGCTGTAACATTCATTTACTTGAACTGCTAAGCTCCCAAAATTGAGTTTTACTTTTCTTAGGTAAATTATTGTGAGATTTTGATGATGTTAGTATTATTTTTCTGGCTTATATGGTTTTCCTAATTTCCTGTTTCATCTTTAGCATGAGAAAATTATTCACCAAGAAGCCCAGCTGAACTTGAGCCTTATAACTGGGATAACATAGTTGCGATTGATAAAACAGGAGAAATAATGTCTGTTACTTTTGGGGTGGCATGGAGAGTGGAAGACAAAAAACAAAGTTTTTCAGTTATCTGAGTTTTGGAGTTGATACAAATTGCTATAATACTTATAAAAGGAACAGATTTTTTTTCCCCTAGTCTAAAATAATTTCTCATTAGCAGTTAATAGTAGTAGTTTTTGTTTTCAAGTATTCATAACAACCAGGGCTGCATAAATAGACCAAGTTTCTGAAAAGTAAATACATCTCAGAAAGTACTCCTTTAAAAGTAAGAAATCTATAACGTACAGACGTGTGGAGGTTGTAATATACTTCTTTGGACACTTTCCTGAGGTGAGTGACCATAATAAATCCCAAACGTGCATCCTTCTCCCTTAGATGTTCTGACACGACCAAGTGGTGCATTAGCCTGTTTCCACATGTTGCACAAAGCTGAAAGTGATAACATGTGGAATGTTGCTTCAGTTTATTAGTTATGTTCTACGTTCCGTTAGATTGTGACCATGTGGCTTCCTCATGTGTTTAGCTGGGGTAGATTGAATGTTATCAGCAGATACGAACATTTCCAATGTGTGACACACATCTTGTTCCCAGAATTTTAGTGTTTCCTGCCTAATATGAAGGAGAAAATGAAAAAGCATTGAGTTGGAGTCACCCTGGGGATCCTTCAGTTCTTTACCCCAAGTAAAGAATTATTGTTGGTTTTAAGCCAAAGTCGAGGAGTGGAATGAGCCACAGGGAGAGGGTGACTGCAGATACCTGTTTAATGGACTGAAAAATACCTGCACATACACACACACAGAGACACACACATGCAAAGTGAGATATGGATAAGATGTTTAAGTAATTCCTTTAGAATTATGACCTAATAGAATTTCCTGCTTTCTGTGTGTGGTTCCATTGGTTCAAGATCCGTATCTGTGCATGTATCTATCTAGATATTATTACTTAATAATTACTGATTTCACATTGCCTCTACCTCGGATTGAGTTTATTCAGGAAAAATATATCACATGACCATTGATTTACACTCATTTATACTTTATTTCTTCTTTCCTTTAACAAATATTTATTGAGTGCCTATAGGTGCCAGGCAGTGTCCTGGATACTAGATAGATAGTAGTGGATAAACCAGATATAGATTCTTCTTACAAGTTTATGAGTATGTGTCAGTCTCTTGGGAAAGACATTAACATAATCACAATGCAGGTCGGTAAGTGTTATGATAGAGAGCTAAGGGAGAGGATAGGAGAAAGTCTTGTGTTAAATGTGAGGGTAAATTAAGTGCCTGTAAAAATTGTTTGGTTTCTGGTTACCCCCTCAAGTGCTCAATATGTGAGTACATATGAGACACACCAAAATTTCTAGAGGAGAGGGAAGGAAATACCAGAAGGGTAGTACTGCTCCTTTGTTATATCTCACAAGTTCTCTTGTAAGTGGAGTCTAGAGAGGTTGCTTTATTGGATTTAGTGGGGTCTACATGAGACATCTCCCAAAGGGAAGGCAGCAGAGGGAGAACTGAAGGAAGGGAGGAGGAGGAGGAAAAGGGAAGACAACAGTGTGATTCCAAGTAGGATATGGAAAGTGGTGCTAGCTGTGAATTGCCCAATGGGCCATCTTTGACATCCAGATAGTGTATAAATACCTGTGGAGAGTTTCTTCAGGCTCATTTCTGTGCTATAATCTGTGCTGGGACGAAGGTGGCATATTAATGCATGTTTCTTTTTTAAAAAAGTTTACATTTTGGGGAGGAAAAACACACAACAAACAGTAAATAAGGCAGCATATAGTGAAACGCCAAACTATGGGATAAGATATGGAATAAGTACAATGACGTTTATATCAGATGGCCTTAGATAAGTGGTCAAAGGATGGAGTTAAGTGTGGGTCAGAGTGGACAGGGACACAGCAGGACATGCTCCCCTGATGTGGAAGGTTCAGTCCACATGCTGACTAGCAAAGGAATCGACGTCTCTGCACAGACCCGGATGGTGTCTGCGTTAACCCATACTGGACCCAAGCAAGATATTTCATGTGGTTTGGACGAGGGAGACGTTTGAATATTTCCGAATGGCTGAGTTGAAGTAGAAAAAGATGTTCGTTTTTGCCAAACAATATGTGTTGCAGACATTTTTTTGATCTCTTGTTTTACAATTTCATCCTTGATTGCTGCTTGATCAGCCCTCGTGTCCACCTCATCTCTGACCTTTACTTTATTCCTGAGTTAGGCCCATTGGCTCAGGGCTGGGATTTGAAATGGGCGGCAGGCAGGGACCAGGAGGAAGTCCGTGGTGCACATTTATTGAGAATTATAAAAAAGAAATGCTTAATAATTTTTTTTTTATCAAAAAGTATCATGTAACCATTATCATATAAATCTCACAACTCTCTGGGGTTAAGTATCATTATTTTAAAAATTAAAAAGAGTATAAATTTCAAAAGTTCTGAAAAACATTCTGGTTATTTAAAAAAATCAACAGTATAGAAGTAGATACTATGAATTGTGTAGATTCTTCCAGATCTGTTCATATATATTTATATGTGTATGCAGTTAGTTGTGTTATTTTTTATGTAAATAGAATTTCATACTTTGCATATGTGGTGACTCAATAGCTCATTTAATATATCTGGGAAATCTTTTCATGTCTGAGCATATACATCTGCCTCATTAAAAAAAAAAAAAAAACTGTTTAGGGAGTGGCTCTTTAGGAGGTGGCTCCATAGTGTAGTGGTTAGCTCTTCTGCTTTATATGCAGAAGGTCCTGGGTTCGCACCCCAGGTGGAGCCACAGACCATACCCCGGGTGCGCCAGGCCCCGAGCATATAGGAGGAGACACCCCGCCTTCAGAGATCCAATTCTTAAGGGGAAATGCAACATCCATAGGTCAGGGGTGGAAGTGGTGGCGGCGGGCGCGGGAATTAAAAAGAGGGGAGGAAAACACCTCTTCATTAAAGTATAATATACATACAAAAAAGTGCATATAATTCATTGAATTATCATGCTTTATTTTTAAATGACTACATAATATTTTCCTCTCCATTTTAAAAATTAAAGGTAATATATATGCTCTAATAAGAAATTTAATGGTGGAAAGGATATAAAGGAAAAATCGTGGCTTCTTATCTCTGTTTCTAATTTCCAGG